CATGTTGGATATTTTGACAGTGTGTCATTTGAACAGAAAACTAAATGAGGTGAGGGAGCAAGCCATGCAGATATGTAGGGGAGGAACATTCTCAAAAAGAGGAAACCATAAGCACAGATGCATATTCTTGATTATTTGAATAGCCAATAGACCATTGTGACTAGAGCAAAAGGGACAAGTATGAAAATGGTAGGAGATAATATCAGAGAAATGGCTGAGGAAAAACTCATGTAGGTCCTTAAGGATCATAGTAAAAATTTTGGATTTTATTCTGATACAGTAGACTCTTAGGTTTTTACTAGGGGAATAATATTATAAGTTACATTTGAAAAGGATTACTCTGGCTGCTGTGTGAAGAATAGATTATAGGGGCAAGGATGAAAGTAGGCAGACCAGTTAGAAGGTTATTGCAGTGAGACATAGGTAGCTTGGCCTAGGGTGGAAATAATGAAAGTGGTTTGATTCTTGATAAATTTTGATAGTAGAGCTAGTAAGATTTGCTGATAGATTGGATGAGCAGCTAGGCTTCTGTCTGTTTGCTTGGTGGGTGTTACTAGTGTTATTTTATAACCTTCTTTGTTGATTCTCCTCCACACCAGAGTTTGAGAACCAGAGTTTTATTTTTGTCATTACTTTCCTTTCTGTAAGTTCTTCTCATTTTTTGTTCTTTAATTTTCCCTTTTCTTCTTCATTTTCCACAAAATATTTGAGAGCTGTTTAAGCCATTCTGAGGAGTCCTGCAGGTACAGTGCTTAAATACTCAGTTGCTAACTGAAAGTTCAGTAGTTCAAACACACCAGCCACTGCACAGGAGAAAGATGAGGCAACTGCTTCTGTAAGGATTGTTGTTGTTGTTATGTGCCGTCGAGTCAACCCAACTCAAAGCGACCCCTCCTTGGGTTTCCGAGGCAGTATCACTACAGAAGTAGGATTGCCCAACCTTCCTTCCGAGGAGTGGCCTTGTAAATTCCTAGATAGGTTGAAAAAGCAAACCAACAAATATATATACATAGAAATCAAAGATTATTAGTGGTTACCAGGGTTAGGAAGGAAGGGGAAAGGTGAAGCTTCTGTTTATGGGGCATTGAATTTATGCTAATGGTGATGGAATATTTTGGAAAAGGATAGCAATGATGGTGGTACAACATGAAAAATATCGTTATTGTCCCTGAGCTGTAAATGGAGAAGTTGTTATGTTGGAGAATGTCTTCTTGTGTATGTTACCACCACAATAAAAGTAAAAAAAAAAAAAAAAAGATTACGGCTTTGGATACCCTATGAGGCAGTTCTACTCTGTCCTGTAGGGTCACTAAGAGTCAGAATTGACACAGCAGCAATGGATTGGGTTTGGGCTTTTGGTGTTAAGCCATTCTGTGCTTATGAAAATTATTTTCATTTCACCTATCAGTTTTACCTTAAAAGTTTCATTTCTCCCAGAAAACAAAAACAGCAGAAATTTGCTTTCTTGTTGTCTTACAGATTTGGAATCTGGCTGTGAGACCAAGAAGTCATCTCCAGAAAACAATATTTATAAAATGGAATCACTCCAGTGGGAGACATTGGGAAAACCTTTAGGTCATAACCTTGAGTACAAGTGTCTGGGAGACATGGCCTACAAAGATCAGTTTGAGAGTCAACAGAGAAATCAGGGGACATTTTCCATACATGTGAAAACCTGTGAAGAAAAGGCCACGCAGAGTCATTCCACAACCCCTACTCTTCATCAAATAATTCCTACAAAGGAAAAATTGTACAAATGTAAGGGATGTAGACAAGCCTTCCATTACCTTTCATGCCTTATTCAGCATGAGAAAACTCATAATAAAGAAAAACATCCTGAAGTTAAGAAATGTAGGAAGACCTTTAGCAAAAAACCAAGCTATGGTCAACATCAGAGGATTCAGACTGGTGAGAAACCATATGAGTGTATGGAATGTGGCAAGTCCTTTGGTCGTAGTTCTGATCTGATTCAACATCAGAAAATTCATACTAATGAAAAACCCTATCAGTGCAAAGCATGTGGGAAAGCTTTCATTCGTGGCTCACAGCTCACTGAACATCAGAGAGTTCATACAGGAGAGAAACCCTATGAATGTAAGAAATGTGGAAAAGCCTTTAGCTATAGTTCACAGTATACTCTGCATCAGAGAATTCATAGTGGTGAAAAACCTTATGAATGTAAAGAATGTGGAAAGGCCTTTATTCTTAGCTCTCAACTTACTTACCATCAGAGAATTCATAGTGGTGAAAAACCCTATGAGTGTAAGGAATGTGGAAAATCCTTTATTCTTGGTTCACACCTTACTTATCATCAGAGAGTGCATACTGGTGAAAAGCCTTATAGATGCAAAGAATGTGAGAAAGCTTTTTTATGTGCCTCCCAACTTAATGAGCATCAGAGAGTTCATACAGGTGAGAAACCCTATGAATGTAAAGAATGTGGCAAGGCCTTTATTCGGGGCTCACAACTTACTTACCATCTGAGAGTTCATACAGGTGAGAGACCTTATAAATGTAAAGAATGTGGAAAAGCCTTTATTTGTAATTCTAATCTCACTCAACATCAGAGAATTCATACTAATGAAAAACCCTACAAATGTAAAGAATGTGAAAAGGGCTTTAATTGTTGCAAACAGCTTAGTGAGCATCAGAGAGTTCATACAGGTGAGAAACCCTTTGAATGCAAGGAATGTGGAAAAGCCTTTATTCGTGATGCATATCTTATTCAACATCAGAAAATTCATGGTGAGAAACATTATGAATGTAAGGTATGTGGGAAGACTTTTATTCGTGCTACACAACTTACTTATCATGAGAGAATTCATACGGGTGAAAAACCCTACAAATGTAAGGAATGTGACAAGGCCTTTATTTATGGGTCACAACTTAGTGAACACCAGAGAAGTCATAGAGGTGAAAAACCCTATGAATGTAAGCAGTGTGGGAAGGCCTTTATTCGTGGTTCACACCTTACTGAACATCAGAAAACTCATACTGAGGAGAAGCCTTATGAATGTAGGGAATGTGGAAAGGCCTTTAGTCGTGGATCAGAACTTACTCTGCATCAAAGGATCCATACTGGTGAGAAACCCTATACATGTGTAAAATGTGGTAAAGACTTTAGACGTCATTCACAACTTACTCAACATCTGAGGCTTCATAATTAAGAAGGCCACTGAATGTAATTTAATATTAAAAAAGTCTTCACCTGTCTTCCATTGCTCTTTTCTATTAGAAATCCCGTATTGTGATTGTAGGACTCAAATGTAGGACATTTTTTTGCTTCTGCTTAAAATCAACCCAGTTTTAGAAAGCTTGTGTTAACTTAGGAACCCTGGTGGTGCGGTGCTTAAGCTTTTGGCTGCTAACCAAAAGGTGGGAGGTTTGAACCTACCAGCTGCTCCTTGAGAGAAAGATGTGACAATCTGCTTCTGTAAAGATTTACAGCATTGAAAATCGGATTCAGCAGTTTGACTCGTGCCGCTATGAGTTGGAATTGACTCAATAGCAATGATTTTCTCTTCTCTTTTTTTAAAATGTTAAGTTAATGAATGCAGAAATGACTTCTGGAATCCATGAATATCTTTTAAATCTTCATAACTTTGAAGTATGATGGTGAGGCATATTCTTTATTGAGCATCATCTCAGTTACACCATTTCATAAGTGTAATTGGATACATTACTTAGCCTCTTTGTGCCTCAGTTTATTTATTTGTAAAGTACTGCAGTGATATGATGATGACTAAATTAAAACTAGCATGTATAATACCATTTGGACAATATCTAATTCCCTGTTTTAATTGTCATTGCTATTATCATCATGCTTATATGCTACTAGAGAATTTAAATGGTACGAATATTTTATGATGTTGTAAAAAAATGTATGGATCTTTTTACCATCTCTCCTATTTTTGAACACTAGTTTATTTTGTAACACAAACCTTTAGAATATAATAAAGGTATGATTACTTTAATTCAGAGTTCATAAATTTTGCTGCATCAGAAAATTTATACTAGAAAGAAACATTCTGAGAGAAATTAGTGTTGTTTAGTTTTGTTTTTGTTTTTGTCTTTTAAAGTAAAATCAAAGGACAGTTGGTTTTTCTGCAACAAATTCCAAAAGCATAAGTCATAATCCATATTTTCTAATTATTTTCTTAAGGAAAAAACATTCATCAAAATGATAGCCAAAATAGCTCCACTTAAAACAAAAGGGTATAATTTTCTTTAAATAGGCAGTCAGTACCAAATTTATCAGCTGCATTTATTTCTCATTATTCAATCTATTCCATTCCTAAAAATATATTGAATATTGAATTTTCAGATCTCTTTATTTCAAAGCCTATACTCCATTATTTTTAATGGAAAATGTGTTCCCACCCGATTCAGAAACCCTAACCATTTTTCCCTAATATAACTTAAACTCAACTGAAGCCAATTACATAATTCTGCCAGGGATTTCTGAATAATGTAAAATATTTAAAACCCCAATTAACAATTAGTGAATTAGTAGATGTATTTGTGGGCCTTATGCAATGATACTGAACAGTATAAAGTATGGATTAAATTTTCCTTCTATACTTAGAGTAATAGATACTGTAATGACAAGAAACAATGAAACATGTTAGATAAATAATGAATACAGATAAAACTTGGTAACATAAAAGCAACTTTCAAATAGTAGAAACTTACCAATTAAAGAGTTGTAAAATGAGGTTTTATGGTCAGAGGAGAGTAATGGTGGTGTCTTAGTGAAAACACTTACTGAATCAAAGATTTGTGCTCACAGGCACATAGCAGAGGGAAAGGAAGCATAGCCCAAGTTACAAAGTGTTTGCTAAACATTATCAATAAGTTTATTTGTTGCATTCTGAGGTTGTTACATCCTCAGAGTTGTATAACAAAGTATTCTGTCAGGGGCTAATTTTCTGTCACATCTGCAATCTGCCTTCTGCTAACAAAGTTAGTTCTACCTTAGTTACAAATTTACAAAGGGGTAGTAGAAACAGTGAAAAATCCTAGTGTGTGAAATTCTAGTTTGGAAGTCAGGTTGTGAACTAAGACGTGATATATACCTATTTAGCTATAAAGTTATTTACACTTTCTAACTTCATTTAACGTTATTAGTTGTATTTCTTATCTTCCTGCTGACGAAGGAGCATTCTCTGAGGCCAATTGCATGAATATTTTTAGCAGACTGTAATTCTTTATCCAGGTTAGAAATCCTGACTTGTAAACCTGACAAAAAGGCTGATTAATTTCTTTAGAAAAGTAGAAGGGAAAATCATAGTTTAATTCAAAATGGAGTTTTAAGTTAGGCCTGAAGTTACCCAATTCCGGTATGCCAGTATTTTAGTCCATTCCACCCCACCCCCAAGGTCTACCACTGTATTAAAAACCCAAACCAAACTCACTGCTGTTGAGTTGGACCTGACTCATAGCGACCCCTCCTTGGGTTTCCAAGGCAGTATCACTACGGAAGTAGATTGCCCAACCTTCTTTCCAAGGTTAGCAGTCAAATGCCTAAGGCACTACACCACTAGAGCTCCCTTACCACTATATATCTCCCCCTTTTGATCAAGCCACCACTAGGGGGCAGTAGATCACCTACCTGCAAAAGAGTTATTCGTATTCTGCAAGAACTTGGGAATTTCTGAGGTGACTAGATTGTGTAAAACTTTAAGCTACTGCACGGGTATATGCACAGGGTGTATAGGCTTTACTATGCTTGTCTCCAAATTCTAGATTTGGGAGCTTTGTTGTAGCTGAGCCACTCTTCTGGCACCTTTTCAGACCTCGGATGCTGTCTTCTGGTAGCTGAGCACTATTTTGGCTTTTAGCAGCTGAGTCTTAACTGACTTCATCTTGCCATATAGCTCTGGGGTTTAATTCTAGGGTGGATAAAATCTTATTGGGGTGAGTGGTGTAAACAGATCCACATTAGAGGAATAACTGAGCACTGTAAAAAGGGTTTGACTTCAGAACTAAACCTTATCCCCCTTAGAAAAATCAGTCTCTTTTAGATATATAGTATGTATGGTCATAAGCCTCAAAGATTGGCTGTGGCAGTGAGAAACACAATATTCTGTGTACTTTGCTGTTTCCTATTACATTATTTTATTTTATTTTTTTACATTGTAGCTCACTTGTCTTCACAACTGTATACTGATCATGAGTCCTACTTTGAAAAACACTGGTATTACATATATAGTGGAAATTGTAACCCAAATGTTAATTCACCATTTTAAAAGATGATGGATAGATATGCGGGAGCTCCGGTGTAGTGCCTAAGGCATTTGACTGCTAACCAAACCCACAGGCCACTCCTCAGAAAGAAGGTTGGGCAATTTACTTCTGTAATGTTATCGCCTCGGAAACCCAAAGA